CCTCCCCGGAATAACAACCAAAACAGAATCCCCCTCGTCCTCACGTACCACCCCACCAACCTCCGGATCCAACGCATCATCCTCCGACACTTCCGCCATCTGCAATCTGACCCCACCACCAAAGACATGTTTCCCTCCCCACCTTTATCTGCTTTCCGGAGGGACCACTCTCTCCATGACTCCCTTGTCCATTCCACACTCCCTTCCAGCCCCACCACACCCGGCACTTTTCCCTGCAACTGTAGGAAGTGCTACACCTGACCCTACACCTCCCCCTTCACCCCCATCCCAGGCCCCAAGAACACTTTCCACATCAAGCAGATGTTCACCTGCACATCTGCTAATGTGGTATACTGCATCTACTGATCCCGTTGTGGCCGCCTCTACATCGGGGAAACCAAGCGGAGGCTTGGGGACCGCTTTGCAGAACACCTACGCTCAGTTTGCACTAAACAACTGCACCTCCCAGTCGCGAACCATTTCAACTCCCCCTCCCATTCCTCCGATGACATGTCCATCCTGGGCCTCCTGCAGTGCCACGACGATGCCACCCGAAGGTTGCAGGAACAGCACCTCGTATTCCGCTTGGTAACCCTGCAGCCCAATGGTATCAATGTGGACTTCACAAGCTTCTAAATCTCCCCTCCCCCAACCGCATCCCAAAGCCAGCCCAGCTTGTTCCCGCCTCCCTAACCTGTCCTTCCTCCCTCCTATCCCCTCCTCCCACCTCAAGCGCCACCCCCATCTCCTACCTACTAACCTCATCCCGCCCCCTTGACCTGTCCGTCCTCCCTGGACTGACCTATCTCCTCCCTAACTCCCCACCTACACTCACCTTTACTGGCTCCATCCCAGCCTCTTTGACCTGTCTGTCTCCTCTCCACCTATCTTCTCCTCTCTCCATCTTCTATCTGCCTCTCCCTCTCTCCCTATTTATTTCAGAATCCCCTTCCCCTCCCCCATTTCTGAAGAAGGGTCTAGGCCCGAAACGTCAGCCTTCCTGCTCCTCTGATGCTGCTTGGCCTGCTGTGTTCATCCAGCTCTACACCTTGTTATCTCTGGTGCAAATGATTTGTTTTCTTCTCCAGCACCAGCTATTGACTCAAGAACTTCTTTTCACCTACCCAAACATCTTTGCACCTTGGGTTGCACCCCTGTTTGCCAAAGAGTCAGGCCTCCTATATGAATGGTTTCGCCATTTTATGAAAATTATTTGGAAGCTGTACTTATTAATGCTATCACTGTTTCTTAAGAGAGAAATTTTCACCCGAGGTGCTTCCCCAATTTTATTTAGCTTAAAATAAATTTCCATTGATTTGTTTTCGCTGTTTTAAATAGCTGTTCCCTTCCCTCCCCTGTTCCCAAAATCTAAGAATTAGATGTTAGTGGTAAAGTGCTAAATATCCTTATGAAACTTCTGTGTGATAATTTAATGTAAATGTTTATTCAATACAAAATTAAAAACTTCCATGAATAACTAGTGAATATTATAAGACCATGTTAGGTGTTATCTGTTATTATCACAATTTTTAGAACAATATCTTTGAGTCATAGGGTCGAAAAGTCATATAACATGGAAACAGACCCTTCAGTCCAACTGATCCATGCTGACCAGGTTTCCCAAACTAATCTAGTCCCATTTGCCTGCATTTGGCCCATATCCCTTTAAACCTTTCCTATTCATGTACCTATCCAAATGTCTTTTAAATGTTGTAACTGTACCTGCATCTACCACTTTCTTTGGCAGTTCATTCCATAAACACACCACCCTCTGTGTGAAAAAGTTGCCCCTCAGGTCCCTGTTAAATCTTTCCCCTCTCACCTTAAACATAGTTTTGCACTCCCCTACCCTAGGAAAAAGACTTTGCAATTCACCTTATCTATGCTCCTCATGATTTTATAAACCTCTATAAGGTCACCCCTCAATCTCCTGTACTCCAGGGGAATAAGTCCCAGGCAATCCAGCCTCTCCTTACAACTCAAACCCTTCAGTCCTGGTAACATCTCTTGTAAATCTTTTCTGCACCTCTCCCAATTTAATAATTTCTGGTTGCCCTTCCAGAACTGTCTGCAGCACTCCAAAAGTGGCCTCATTAATGTCCTGTACAACTGCAACATGATGTCTCAACTCCTCTACTCAATGGTCTGAGCATTGAATGCAATCATGCCAAATGTTGTCTTTACCACTCAGTCTACCTGTGATGCCACTTTCAAGGAACTGTGTACCTGAACCCCAATGTCTGTCTGTTCGACACCCTTCCCCAGGGCCCTACCATTAACTGTGTAAGTCCTACCCTGATTTGTCTTACCAAAATGCAACAGCTGGCATTTGTCTAAATTAAACTCCATCTGCCACTCCTCAGCCCAGTGGCCTGGATGATCAGAATCTTGTTGTACTCTTAGATAACCTTCTTCACTGTCCAATATACCACCAATTTTTGTGTCATCTGCAAACTTACTTACTAACCATACCACCTATATTCTCATCCAAATCATTTATATAAATGACAAACAACAGTGGACCTAGCACCGAGCCCCACGGATCACTGTTGGTCATAGGCCTCCAGTCTGAAAAAAACCCTCTTTGTTAGTTAGCGACTGACATGCTTGATCACTACTCTTTGGGAAGGTAGTAGTATAATGGTAATTTCAATGCTCTTGTAATCCGGAGAGCCAAGTCAGTGTTCTTGGGGAGATGTAAAATCAAATCCAGTGATGACAAAGAACAAGGAACAAAGAAAATTACAGCACAGGAACAGGCCCTTCGGCCCTCCAAGCCTGTGCCGATCCAGATCCTCTATCTAAACCTGTCGCCTATTTTCCAAGGATCTGTATCCCTCTGCTCTCTGCCCATTCATGTATCTGTCTAGATATATTTTAAATGACGCTATCGTGCCCGCCTCTACCACCACCGCCGGCACCGCATTCCAGGCACCCACCACCCTCTGCGTGGAAAGTTCTTTACGCATATCTCCCTTAAACTTAACCCTAAGTTTAACTGCTGTTATGGCTTGGATACTTCCTTTGGTAAAAAAGTGTCATCATCCTTTTAGACAAAAGCTCTTCTTATCTCTCTCTTCTTCTGGACTCATTGTGGCCTGAGTTTCCATTTTGGAAACCTTCTTACAAACTCCAGTTAAGCACCATGGGTTTCCCTCACAACTTCCAATATTCTGAATGAATGTCTCACACCTTGTTAAAATGGAAACAGTTTCATTTCTGAATTTGACCTCCACGCCTAATACTTTCCCATTTGATCTGAGGAAGAGGCCATGGGGCATTCCCAGCTATCCACTTCTTACCTTGGCTACTTGCCTTCTTTACACATTCCCATTTTCTATCTCTCTCTTTCAAATTTATGGGGGTGGCAGAAAAATGTTTATGGATTACCTTAGAATGATTAGCCGTTATGGCTACCTGTCTAAGGGTTGCAATATGAGTTCTCATTACGGAAGGAAATTTAGGTTTTAAATTATTCTAGGAGAATAATTTCTCTGAGAGCTTCATACGTGGATTCTAATGCTTGTTTCCATCTGTCAAACTTGCTTTGTTTAACCCTTCCAACTTCAATATCCCAGGTCTTTCCTTAAACTCTGGAACCTTTGCCTATATGCTACAAGCACTAATTCACAAGCAGCTAATACAGTTTACTTTACAGCATTGTAATCCTGAGAAACCTTGTCTGACAGTGAAGCAGAAATTTATTGTGCATTACCCGTCAACTTACTCTTCAAGAGCCCTGTCCAGTCCTAGTTTGTCCAATTCAATTGTCTAGCCACTTTCTCAAATGAAATGAAGAATACCTGTCCTTTTCTCCCTCAAATTTTATAGTGCAAATTATGTATTTCCTTACCAGACTTGCTTATGACTTGACTCACTTACGACTTTCCTTACTGGTTGAGGGTGGCAGTGTGGCTCAATGGTTAGCACTGCCGCCTCACAGTGCCAGTGACTGGGTTCGATTCCATCCTCGGACAACTATCCGTGTGGAGTTTGCACATTCTCCCCGTGTCTGTGTAAGTTTCTGCAGGTTGTTGTGGTTCCCGCCCACAGTCCAAAGATGTGTAAGTTAAGTGGATTGGCCATGCTAAATTGCCCATAGTATTCAGGGATGTACAGATTAAGTGAGTTAGCCAGGGGAAATGCAGGGTTATGGGGATGGGTCTGAGGGGATGCTCTTCAGAGGTTGGTGTGGACCTGTTGGGCTGAATGGCTTGTTTCCACTCTGTAGGGATTCTATGACTTGAATAATTACTCTGATTCTCCCCACCAGGGTGTGCATCAGTATCTGATGTTTTCTGTTTCAACTACATTGTATTAAGCTTATATTATAAACTTCTAATTCTTGTTTATTATTTCTGTTTCCTGTCCTTTTTATTCCATTTCCCTATCTTTATCTTTTTCTGCCCTTTCCTTGTCTTTTTCCACATTACATATCTTTTCCTTAGTATCTCAGTTATCTCTGTCTCCCTAGCTCTACTAAGCAATGACAGCTGGTGAAATTTGAATTCTATGAAATCTGGAGTTAAAAGCTGGTCTAATGTGAACATTGTCAATTGTGATAAAAACCCATCTGGTTCATTAATGTCCTTTATGGAAGGAAATCTGCCATTCCTACCTGGTCTGTCCTATATCTGACTCTAGATCCAAAACAAAGTAGTTGACTCTCAAATGCCCTCTGAAATGACCTAGGGAGCCAATCAGTTCAATGCAATCTTAGGATCAGCAAAAAGTGCTGACCCTCCCTTCCACATTCTATACAAGAATTTTTTTAAAAAATCATGGTGCAGGCTAATTTTTGTTAATCTAAAGAGGAATCAAATCTTCATTAGTCGATAGCATAATGATGCTTTTGTTCTGTTAAAGGTCTTAAGCGGTTTATATATGCTTATAAACTAACAAGAAAGAACAAGCTTACTTTGTAGATAGTCACTAAAGGTTTGACTACATACCTTCTAACTTAAAGCTGCAATGTGCACTTATCCAACTTTTCTCTCAAGGGATCAACAGCAGTTCGTGACCTCGCATGGCCAGAGGAGCTGGTTTTTGTATTGGATCAGAAGGTTCTGAATGACATAGATCAAGCTAAGCAGCAGTATTACAAGCAGGTAAGAATTAGTGCTGTAAATGAGCTTTTAGACCTGAATCCCAATAATAACATAACTACTTTCGAATGAAATGTAGAGGCTAATAATGCAGTGTAATCTAATACAACTGGATGTCTTCATGTTGATGAAAGCCATGAGCCATAGAAGAAGTAGCCAGGCTAGGATCCAGAAGAAAGTTTTTATCATCTCTGCATTATAGTTACATCTTGGCCTTGATCTCCTTCCTTATCACTGTAATCTCCTCTGTCCTTGGAGACCATCATAATTCCTGCAACTCTTTAGCTATGTCCTCTTAAGTATTCCCAAATTCTGTCTCTCCATTTAGCAGCTATGTGTTTCTTTTTTAGCTAAATAGGTTTTGCGCTCTGGAATTCCCACCCTAAACCTGTCCCCATCTATCTCCTCCTTTTATGTCATTCCTTAAAACATCCCTCTCTGACCAACCTTCTGATTATGTCTTGAAATCTGTTGTGAGGTGCTAAATAATTTGCCTGTTGACATTACAATGGGGAAGTTTTTGAAGCAGCAAACGCTGATCTCGACACTCAGCCCATGAAAGAATAAAGGAAAATAAAATTCTTTTGACTATCAAGACCATGTACCTCTTATTTCTGATAATATTGCAGCCAAATTAGACAGAAATACACGTGCTCTTAATTTACAGTTTGATTTGAGTATCTGAGAGAATAAAACGTAGCTGATTTTGATAGAAACATAGAAAATAAGTGCGGGAGTAGGCCAACGGCGCTTTGAACCTGGTCTGCCATTCAATATGATCATGGCTGATCATCCAACTCAGTACCCTCTTCCGTCTTCTCCCCATACCCTTTGATCCTTTTAGCCCTAAGGACTATTTCTAATCCTTGAAAAAATTCAACTTCTTGGCCTCAACTGCTTTCTGTGGCAAAGAATTCCACAAGCTCACCACTCTGTAGGTGAAGAAATTGCTCCTCATTTCAGGCCTATATGGCCTACCCCTCATCTTTAACTCTGACTCCTGATTCTGAACTCACAGTCATGAGGAACATCCTTCCTGCGATTACTGTGTCCAGTCCTGTTACAATATTGTAGCTTTCTATGAGATCCCCCCTACAATCTTCTAAGGCAGTGTTTGGTGACTTGAACTTTGAGGTGACTGTGCGTACACGCTCACAGAGTCACATAGTTCAAGGTCAGTGTGTCGTCGTATCATGCGTGTAATTCCACACTGCACGTGTAAACAGCAAGGGGTTGAAACAGGGACTGAACAGCGCTAGAAGGGAGGGAATGGATGGGGGTCTGGTGGAAAGAGAGAGAGTTGAAGGTGAATGGACCAAGGCAGAGAAGAAAGGACTGGGTCGTGAGGGGGATAATTGGGATCACACTGAGGGCAGGGGTGAGCAGGCCCTCTCCGATCATCCTATGACTACTCTCTCCTCAATCCCCAGCCCCAACCCTGCATCCCGATCTCCCCACCTACAGCTTGATCACTCCCATCTGCCCGATCTGCTTCCACACCCCAGCCTGATCTCTTCTTTTCACACCTCCAGCCCACAATACCCCAGCACATTCTTGTCACCCCCCCACCCCCAACCCCAGGCTGATCTCCCTCTCTCTATCTCTCTCCCCCCACCCCGCCAGATTTTTAAAGATGAAAATAGTTAAAACTTTATATTCAAAGCTTTAACTGAAGTCTGAACACAAAAGCAAACGCTTTTCAATAAATTTTATTCACTAGTGCATGCGCAAGTGTCTCCATAGGTCATGATGCGCGTGGTCCTCAGTATCAGCAAACACGGCCCCCGAAACTCCAGTGGATAGCTACTTTTATTTTGAAAGATATTTAACTGATTTCATAGGAAAATGAACCTACTAGGATGAAATTTTAGAGTATAGTCATGCTGTATGTTGTATTTTAGCTGATCATTCCACATTTGAATAAAAACTGAAAGAACTGCAGATGCTGGAAATCAGAAACAAAAATGGAAATTGCTGGAAAAGCTCAGTAGGTCTGGCAACGTCGGTGGAGAGAAATCAAAGTTAACATTTAGGGTTAGGGTTAGAACTGGGGAAAGGTCACTGGACCCGAAATATTAACTCTGATTCCACAGTTGAATATTTATTTCTGGCCAACGTGAAGTTAAAGGAACAGTTAACATTGAAAATACTCGTGATTTTCTTCTTTAACTGCTTGATCTGGGGTAAACTAGCTGAAAGTGAGGTGAACAAGATCTTCTCTGTAAAATGAGGCTTTGGCCTTAACATTTCAACACTAATTGTTAATCTTAATCAAGTGGCCAGAGAATAACTGCTGCAGAAAAAGGAAGCATCTATCAAGGCATTTGATAAGGTTCCACATGGTAGGCTCATTCAGAAAGTAAAGAGGCATGGGATTCAGGGAAATTTAGCTGTCTGGATACAAAACTGGCTGTCCAAAAGAAGACAGAGGCTGGTAGTAGATGGAAAGTATTCAGCCTGGAGCTTGGTGACCAGTGGTGTTCCGCAGGGATCTGTTCTGGGACCTCTGTTCTTTGTGATCTTTATAAATGACTTGGATGAGGAAGTGGAAGCGTGGGTTAGTAAGTTTGCCGATGACCCGGAGGTTGTTGGAGCTGTGGACAGCGTGGAGGGCTGTTGTAGGTTGCATCGGGACATTGACAGGATGCAGAACTGGGCAAAGAAGTGGCAGATGGGATTCACCCCAGAAGAGTGTGAAGTGATTCATTTTCGAAGGTCGAATTTGAATGCAGAATACAGGGTTAATGGCAGGATTTTCGGCAGTGTGGAAGAACCGAGGGATCTTGGGGTCCACGTCCATAGATCCCTCAAAGTTGCGACCCAAGTTGATAGGGTTGTAAAGAAGGCATATGGTGTGTTGGCTTTCATTGGCAGGAGAATTGAGTTTAAGAGCCGTGAGGTCATGCTGCAGCTCTATAAAACTCTGGTTAGACCACAGAATATTGTGTTCAGTTCTGGTCACGTCATTACAGGAAAGATGTGGAAGCTTTAGAGAGGGTGAAGAGGAGATTTACCAGGATGCTGCCTGGACTGGAGGGCAGGTCTTATGAAGAAAGGTTGAGGGAGCTAGGGCATTTTTCATTGGAGTGAAGTATGAGAGGTGACTTGATAGAGATGTACAAGATGATGATAGGCATAGATAGAGCAGATAGTCAGAGACTTTTTCCCAGGGCGGAAATGACTATTATGAGGGGACATAATTTTAAGGTGATTGGAGGAAGGTATAGGGGAGATGTCAGAGGTAGGTTCTTCACACAGAGAGTGGTGGGTGTGTGGAATGCGCTGCCGGCAGTGGTGGTGGAGTCAGGTACTTTAGAGACTTTTAAGCGACTCTTGGATAGGCACATGGAGGATAGTAAAATGTAGGGTAGATTGATCTTAGTAGGATAATAGGTCGGCACAACATTGGGGGCCGAAGGGCCTGTACTGTGCTATACTGTTCTATGTTCTATGTTCTATCGCACCACTTCAGTATAATGTGATTTTTAAAAATCTGGACTGAGTTCAGTTGTTAGAACAGAATTGCAGGTCACCTAGGGAATGAATGCTTTTGCTAAAGCTGGCTACCCAAATTCATAAAACTTCTCTTGTGCAAATTCCCACAGGCATTGAAAGCTAAAATGAAATATTTGATCCAGTTGTTGTGCTAACTTGCTGGACTGAAGCACTAGGAGTGAAGAACAAGCTTTATAATGAACTGCAGTAATTTAATTTGGAATAGAAGTATAAATCTACTTATGCTATATTTTAAAAAGTACCAATGAACAATTGCATAATAATGTTGCACATTAATTTTACTGTGATCGTATTAACTCACTTAATATTGCAGGCATCAGATGTCCAAATTGTCAGTTATGCCTTCACTGCATTTGGAAAATCTCTGATTAAAAAGAAAAAGCTTCACCCAGACATATTTGTACAACTTGCACTTCAGTTAGCCTATTACAAGTTCCATGGACGGTAAGCATCTTAATCTGTATGCAATAGATAGCACATTTGTTCCATAATCACACTTGTATTGCAAGACATCGTGTTGTGTTGTTGACTAAAAACAGTATCTGTCATATAAAAGTAATTACCGTTAGATAAGAGTTATAGAGTCATACAGCACAGAAACAGACCCTTCAGCTCAACTCGTCCATGCCAGCCAGGTTTTTTAAACTGAGCTAGTCTCATTTGTCTCTGTTTGGCCCATATCCCTTGAACCTTCCCTATCCATGTACCTGTCCTGTCCAAATTTCTTTTAAATGTTGTAATTGTACTCACCTTTACCACTTCCTTTGGCAGTTTGTTCCATATACGCACTACCCTCTGTGTGAATAAGTTGCCCGTCAGGTCCCTTTTAAATCTTTCCTCTCGCATCTCAAATCTACGCCGTCTGGTTTTGCTCTCCATGGAGAAAAGACCTTGGCTATTCAGCTTATCTGTGCCCCTCATGACTTTATAAACTTCTATAAGGTCATCCCTCAGTCTCCTACACTCCAGGGGGAAAAGTCCCAACTTATCTAGTTTCTCCTTATAACTCAAATCCTCCAGTTTTGGTAACATCCTTGTATATCCTTTTTTCACCCTTTCCAGATAATAACTTCCTTCCTATAGCAGGTGACCAAAATTGTATGCAGAACTCCAAATGTGGCCTTACCAATGTCTTGTACAGGCGTAACCATTACATCCCAACTCTTGTACTTAATGCTGTGACTGATGAAGGCAAGCATGCCATGTGCCTTCTTCACCACCCAGTCTACCTGTGGTGCCATTTTCAAGGAACTATGTACCTAAGCTTCTAGGTCTCTCTGTTCGACAATGGTTTGAATGCATCTTTCTAGTTTCTACTTTTTAAATTTTGTTCATGTATTTCTGACTCAGGGTTAGCATTCTTGTTTTTTGAGTCAGAAGGTTGCAGTTTCACTATGCTACTCCAGAGACTTCAGCATATAATCAAAGCTGATGCACATGTGGAGTCCTGCAGGAGAGCTATGCTGTCAGATACTTGAGATACTTAAGACGATACTTTAATTAATGCCCCACCAGGTAAAGCGTTACAGAAGTCAGGGAAGTTCTGCCAATATCCTGGTCAATATTTTATTGATTTGTTGTAGCCATTAAATGTCTCATTGCTACCTTTTTCAAAGATACAAAACTGTGATTGACTTCAAGCTCTGTCACTGTTGAGTGTCAATAAACAGTGGATAAACTGTATCCTATGTCAAGCGTGTTATGCTGGGCAAGATTTTTACAGACTGTGTATTTCTGGTCAAGTTAATATCCAGAATTGCTATTCACAATTCAACCCAAAATCAAAAATTAAATCAGTTTTTGTAATTCCAATCTAAATCTTTGCTTTCTTTGTCTGTTACAAGTTATCTTTAGAAGAGAACACTGTCAGTGGCAAGTAGAGGTAATGTTTAGTAACACAAACTGTGCCAGCAACGTACACGTTGTTGGTTAACTTATCTGACAGAGTAGAGGAAAATAATAATTAGGAGCAAGAGGTGGGTTGTTGGCCCTACATCCTGTTCTGCCATCCAGCTAAATCAATAATCTAGACCAGTGCAATGTGAAGTGCATAGAACTGAAGCATAGAACTGTCTTGCAGAGTATCAGAGATGTTCCGTGTAATCCAGTTAGTCTGGTATGTGTCAGATATCAATGTACTTGGATGGGGGAGTGCACATGTTCACCTCCCATGGAGTGTGCCCTGTGATGTTGGTGCTGTTGCTCCAAATGGAGGTCCAAAGGAGCAAGCGGGAGCTGGAATTGCCAGGTAACCACTCTGACTTTCATGCTGGAAATTGAAGTCAATTAGTTTCTCTGTGACAGATGGGAGAATGGGGGAATTGCATATTATTGAGACAAGATTAACCAACAATGCATTTTCTATGCGGTTTCATGGAAATAGGCCCCTTGTCGCTCATTAGTAAGAATCTCATCTTGCCATTCAACACTTGATTGGCATATTTGGATATTTTGCTTTTGTTGTCGAGAATCTCCTCGATCAGCTAACTTGATTTCCCCAACTTTCTCACCACGGCCCAAGTCGGTCAGGAGCTGGGAAGATTCCACCCTCTGTCTCAGAGAAGCATTGCAGTTATAAAATAACCTGAAGGAATTTCTAATAACCTTGCACCATTCTTCTCTTTCTAATTAATTTCTTGCTATCTGTATTATTGAAACAAGAAGTTGGGATAGAATTGATGGTGTGGGTTAATGAGGAAGTCCGGCATGGATTTCTTAAGGAAAAATTGAGTTTAACTAACTTATTGGAGTTTAGTTAAGTGGTAATGTGGAGAGAGTTAATGAGGGTAGCACTGTTTTGTGGTGTTACATGGACTTCCAAAAAAGGGTTAGATAGTGTCACATAATAGACTTTTAAGAAAAGTTAGATCTCATGAAATAAGTGAGTCAGAAGTAATGTGATACAAAATTGTGAGAGTGATAGGAAATCAAGAGTAATGCTTGGAGGATATTTTTCAGCAGAAGACTTGTAGTGGATTTCCTTCGATAATGGGACTTTTTTTCCTGATAAATAATAATAACACAAATCTCGGAGTATAGGGAACAATTGCAAAGTTTGCAAACAATACAAAAGTTGCAAATATTATATTGTTAAGGCTGTATAGAATTTGAAAGGATATTGACAAATAGTCTGATAGGTGGCAAATGAAATTCAAAGCACAGCGTGTGAAGTAATATGTTTAGGTACAGACAGCATGGAGATACGGTATAAGGGCACTAATCCAAAGGGTATGCAAGAGCCAAGACACTTGAGTGTATATGTGTATGAGTCATTGTAGGCGGCAGGCAAGGTGGAGAACTCAGTAATAAAGCAAACTGTATCCTAGACTTCATTAATAGTGACGTAAGTACATAAAGTAAAAATTATGCTTTATTTACAGTGTACTAATTAGGCCTCAGTATTTTGTACATTCCTCAATTTAGGAAGGATGTGAATGCATTGGAGACGGCACAGAAGAGGTTTATAAGAATGCTTCCGTGAATGAGAAACTTCATTTAATGAAGATAGTTTGTAGAAATTAGAGAAATTGCTTGCCATTTCATTAAACTATCCTGCTCCCATGTTAACCTTTCCAATCTGGGCCTCCAGCGAAGCTCAACATAGGCTGGTGGAACAACACCTTATCTTCCACTCAGGTGATTCATAGTCTCTCGGACTCAATATTGAATTCCACAACTTCAGAGCGTGCCTTCTGTCCTCCATTTTTATTATGACCTGTTCCGGCTGTGTCTTGTTTGAGTCTTGTTGTCTTCGCTGTTAGCAGAGCAGATCCTATTTGTCATTTTCACTTACCTTACATCTCCATCACTTTATTATCATTAGCACTTGCTTGTCTTTTGCTTTGGGCACTTAACCATCTGTTCCACTTGTTCCTCCTCCCCCTCTATCAACGATGTGTAAACCATCATTTCCTAGCCCCTTTTAGTTCTGAAGAAGTCATTTCGAAGTTGAAACGTTGATGCTGCTTTCCTCTGCACTGATGCTCCAGACTTGCTGAGTTTCTCCAGCATTTTTTGTTTTCATTTCAGATCTTGAGCATCCACAGAAATTTGCTTTTATATTGGAGAAGTTGAAATTGTTTTCTTGTAAAGAAAAAGGCTAAGAGGAGTTTGGATGTTTTCAAAATCATAGGAGGTCTGACCTGAGTAGGTAGCAAGAAATTGTCACCACTCGTAAAATAATCAAGAATAGGTGGACATAAACTTAAGGTGATCCAAAAGAAACAAAGTCCATTTGAGAAAACAGTTTTTCACACAATGAATGGTTTGGGCCTGGAATGCACTGCCTGAAAGTATATTTTTGGTGGAGGTTCTGCCAAGGAATTCCTTTGGGTATTAGTGGATTGTTTAAATAGAAATAATATGCAGTTCCACGGGGAAAGGGTGGAAGAATAACGCTAGGTCATAATGCTCATTTGGAGAGCGGATGCAGACACATTGGCCACCTTCTGCACCAGAATAAATCTATGATTTTGGCAAAAATTGAGCTTGAAGTGAGATTGTGTATGTTATTTTAGTTTGCAACTAAAGAGATTGGCTATTGGCTTTGGTGTAAAAGGTTTAGCCTTTAGGTAATGCAGTATTTGCTATTATGTTTATACATGCTTTTAAATTTAACTGCATGATTTAGTCAAGAAAAGTGGAAGAACATACATTTGTGAAATATCACAGCATACCAGATTTGGCACTTTACAATTTTCCTTTTTGATCAAGAAGTATGTGCTGACCTACTGCCACCTGAGATGTTTCTAATTGTGTGATAACTGAGCAAAGTAACCTAGTCTTCAAACATTTCCTCACAGACCTGGCAGCTGTTATGAGACTGCAACAACTAGACGGTTTTATCATGGCCGAACAGAGACAATGAGACCATGCACTGTTGAGGCTGTAGAATGGTGTAGAGCAATGCTGGACCCAGCAGTTTCTGTAAGTGTTCAATTAGTTGCATTATATTTTTCACTTTATATTCAATCCCTTCAGCTCAGTGCTTATTTACAATAGATCTATCTACCACCATCCAAGTTTTATGTGTTCCTAAAGCCGATAAGTTACCAAATAAAAATCAGAAATTATTCTATGTTTTGTTGCCTGTTCCAGATCTTACTCTTTATGTTAGCAGAACGACATTCAACTGTTTGATAATCTGGACAAATAGAGATGTCATGAAATGTGCAGTGCAAAGTTTATATCATCTTTGCTATGTACAGACTTTGTTTTATGATTCTATAACAGAATTTGAGTGGAAATTTGACTATTATTTCGTTCTAACTCCGTAAGATTTTGAGTAGTCATGGACAAGAGTGGCCCCCGGGTGAGGGTGTTTACTTTGACAAGGGTCAATTACATCCAAATTAGACAGGAACTGGGGAATGTGGATTGGGAGCAGTTATTTGAGGGCAAATCTACATCTGGCACATGGGAGGCTTTTAAAGACTAGTTAATTAAAGTGCAGGACGTCCATGTCCTTGCAAAACTGAAGGATAGGAATGGCAGGATTCAGGAATCATGGATGACAAGGGAAATTGGTAAGCTTAGTCAAAAGGAAAAAGGAAGCATATGATAGGTCTTGGCAGTTGCAAATTGACGAAGCCCTTGAGTATAGAGAAATTAGGAAGGAACTTAAATGTGGAATTACGAAGGCTGAAAGGGGCGTGAAATGTCTTTAGCAAACGGGGTCAAGGAGAATTCGAAGGCTTTTTATGCATATATTAGAAGAAAGATTGTAGCAAGGGAAAGAGTAGGCCCACTCAAGGATAAAGGAGGGAAGTTGTGCATGGAGCCAGAGGAAGTGGGAGAGATCCTTAATGAGTACTTTGTATCGGTATTCCGCGAGGAGAAGGACATGACTGATGTTGAGGTCAGGGATTCTAGAGAATATCAGTATATCGAAGGAGGACGTTTTGGGCATCCTAAAATGCATTAAGGTAGACAAGTCCCCAGGGCCAGATGGGATTTATCCAACAGGCAAGGGAAGAAATAGCTGGGGCTTTGGCAGATATCTTCACATCCTCTTTGACCACAGGGTAGGTTTCAATGGACTGGAGATTAGCCGATATTGTTCTCTTGTTTAAGAAAGGAAGCATAGGTAATCTAGGAAATTATAGGCTGGTATGCCTGACATCTGTGGCAGGGAAGCTCTTGGAGAATGTACTGAGGGACATGATATATGCATATTTGGAAGAAAATGCACTAGTTAGTTAGGTTTTGTATGGGGAAGGTCATGTCTCACCAAGCTGATTGAATTTTTTGAAGAGGTGACAAAGATAATTGATGAGGGAAGGGCTGAGGATGTAGTTTATATGGACTTTTAGTAAGGCATTTGATAAAGTCTCACATGGCAGATTGGTACTAAAACAAAAATCAGATGAAATTCAGGGTGGGCTGGCTAGATGGATGCAAAACTGGCTTGGTCATAGAAGACGGAAAGTAGCAGTAGAAGGGTATTTTTCAGAATGGAGATTGGTAACTAGAGGTGTTCCACAGGGATCAGTCTTAAGTCCTCTGTTGTTTGTAGAATATTTAAATGATCTGGAGGAAAATGTGGTGGTCTGATTAGTAGGTTTGCAGATGACACAACGATTGGTGGAGTTGCTGATAGTGCCGACGATTGTGAAACTATACAACAGGATATAGATAGATTGGTGGCCTGGGCACAGAAATGGCGGATAGAGTTTAATCCAGACATATGCGAGGTGATACATTTTGGAGGATCACATTTAGGTATGAATTATTCTGTGAATGGCAGAACCCTTAGGAACATTAACATTCAGAAGGATCTGGGCGTGCAGGTCCACAGTTCCCTAAAAGTGGCAACACAAGTGACCAAGGCGATTAAGAAGGCATATGGCAAGCTTGCCTTCATCAGCCGGGACATGGAGTGCAAGGATCGACAAAACATGTTGCAGCGATTATAAAACCCTTGTTAGGCTGCATTTGGAGTATTGTGTGCAGTTTTGGTCA